TGTATAGTAAGGAAAACTGCATTTTTCATTTGACCCTCAGAGAGGATGAATTCAGTCTTTCATATTGCCTTAAAGAATAAGTTGGCTTTTTATACCTGTCATATGATCAGACTTGTGAAGATTCTTGTTCTGCCTAAACCACTGCCTGAATCTGAAAATGAAGTTTTAACCTAGTTAACATGTTGTACACTGATTGCCATAGTTACATGGGAATTGTATTCGGTTAGAACTCATGCTTCAACAGTTGTTCAGGTAGGGAATCTATTTCATCAGGTGGGTAGAAAAATGTTCTGAACTTGCCCAGAGCTCAAGAAGTATTAGCAGCCATTTCTGCAAAGGAAGAGCAGAAATGTGGTACGTTAGAGACTTCATTATAGTATCAGTTCAGGGTTCAGTTACTATTGAAATGACAGTGCTGTTCTGTTGGAAGTAAGTTATGCCTGAGAGTCATGAACAGAGCTGGTAACAAGGTCAAATGCTGCTTCTAAATAAACAGTTTTCAGTTGATTTAAACTGAGAGCTTAGGCTAGTCAGCTGCACAGGTCTTTTAGTTAACAAAATGAAAATTCCCTTTTTAAAATGTGTGGTTTTAATCAGTCAAGGCTTGCAACATGATAATCCCATTCTGAATTACAGAAATCTTCATGTCTCAGGATGATCAGTATGGAGGCTTTTACTTCCAGTGCTAACTATTAATTATTTTTTTTAAATTCTGGCTTTTGGCAGGTTACTTTTATTTTAGCCTTTTCTAGGCACATAAAAAGCAATGAAATCTTCACTGAGCTTTAAGCTGTTGTAGAGGCAAATAATTAAATAGCCCTAGCTTTCTATCTGCCAGGCGTATAAAGAGCTGCTCAGCAGAAGTGAAGTAGGTAATGGGCTTAGCTGAACAGAAAGGACCTGGCCCCAATATTTGTAATTCTTGTGGATAACAAATGAAATTGCTGTTTGAGAAGCAAATACATTGTAACTCTTTTGTTTATAAAATCTTAAGCTTTTCCTTCAGCAAAAGAAAACATCCAGATCAGTGATTTTTTTTTTTTTATTTTATTTTTTTTTTTTTTAGTGATTGTTGTTGTTAAAAAGAAGTCATGAATATAAACTTGCCCTTAAAACTGAACAGTTGTTAAGAAAAGAGGTTTCCATCACTGGAGACCTCAGATAATGGGCAGTTTTGTAAAACAATGCTTAAAAGAGGTTCAGCTTACCTTGTTAGTAAGGCAGTGCTCATAATTGCACGTGGATTTAATCGGTAGTTTTATTTTGACATTACATTTCTTTATTCTTTTCTAACTTCTGTGTATGGTAATGTTTTTTCCCCAGCTGGAGAATGGCGTGACCTGGCACAACCCAGAGCCCCCAGAGAATATAGGAACAGAGAAGGACAGAGCAAATTGCCCATTCTACATTAAAACAGGCTCCTGCCGATTTGGAGACAGGTAATCAATTGAGTATTTACCAGCATAGAACTGTTTTGGAGAGATGAAAAGCAAGCAACTTCACTAGGTCATATGCAAACTGAAGAAAAATTGCTATACAAATTGCTTTCATGTATTTGGATGTAGTTCTGTTATTCATGATGGAACTAGACCTTGAGAGGAAAAGCATTGCCTGGCTGGAATTGAACTATTTATTATTACAGCATATTATTGATAGTGCATTCTGGTCACATTGGTCAAAATGACTTTTCCTCAGCTCTGATGCATGTACAGATACTTTCAGACAGACTACATTTGGTTTCTGTTATTAGTACATTAGTTCTGGTATTAGTGTCTTCGCTATTTTTTTTTTCTTGTCTGATTTGCATATGCTGCTTGATCTAAAATAAAACCAAATCTGAAATGGATTATAGCAAATTAAGGTATATCTGTGCAGTTGGGAAAGCTGTTGTGTTGTTTCCTGAATTCTCCTGTTTGTGTACTCTTTAGAAGCATGATACATTCTTTCTTGATACTTGTATACTGCTCTGTATCAGAAGGGAAGTACAATAAAAGGCACAAACAGAGGACAACAAGAGGATCAGAGATGAAGAACAGCTTCTGTAGGAGGAGTAAACAACTATTCTAGGCTCTGCTTTCAAAGGGGTGATGGAGGAGAGCTGTGGTAGATAAGCATTGAACTCATGAGAAGGATAGGAAGGAAATTTGCTTTTATTCTTAAACAGTTTGATTAGGTGTCCCTGAGTGTTTACCAGCTTTAAAAAAAAAAAAAAAAAAAAAAGTACTTTCTCATATGAAACAAATTGTGAAGCTTGTTGTCAGAGGACACAGAGTAAGACAAAAGTATAAATGGATTCATGGAGTACAGGTTCATTGGTGGCCATTAAAGATGATGACCCAAACGCAGCATCTGGGTAGAAGATCCCTCAGTGTTTCTGTGTGTTAAGGAGGGACAGTAGCTCAGCAGGGAAGGACTCTGATACTTATTAACTGAATCTTCAGCATAAACTAGAAAGGCTGTTTTACTAACTTGTATCACTGAAGTGTGTGGTTCAGCTATTGTAGTTTTCTTTATCCTAGAAGTGATTTGTTTTAGTGTGCTGTATATTGTGGATAATTATGTGATAATTTGGCCCTACAGAAGCTTCAAGGCCACATCTTTTTTCTATTCTGAAACATACGTTGAATTTGTAAATAAAACTTTGGCCAGCTATTTCACTGGAGAGAGCATTTTCGCTTCTCAAATGTTTAGTTTTCTGTAATCTCTGTAGTATATTTGTTTCGGTGGTGTTTAATGGAGATAACCTTCTTGGTTTAATTATGGATTACATAAAATTAGGTATGCTTTGAACTATGAATAACCTTGGTGAATAAATACAAAGAAACATCATGTTCTGCCCTTCTCTTAGTGGTAGTTGATCTAAGCTACCCTAATCTATTTTCCTTCCTCCTCATGTACCTTCTTCCTTCATATGCTGATCATTTTAACCTCTGGTGTTGACCATAAGTTGAAGGACTGAGATAAATCTAGGATAAGGACGTGAAGAATGTTTTGGAAGCTGAAATGGACAGCAGTGGTGAAAAATTGAGGGGCGGTGTTATCAAGAAACTAATTGTTGAGCCTTGTCAAAGCTCACCGTGTCCTGAAGAAGCTAAAACTGTCTGAGTTCACTGTTACTAATTTCCCCAGTAGTTCAAACACTAATATTTTGTAGTAATACTGGATTTTGGATGATTCATTCTCCTGGGGGGGTTGTTTTGTTCTCTCATGTGCTGTATTCATTTTGTGTACAGATGGTGTTGGTCGAGTATAATATTTTGAGTTCTGTCAATCAAATAGAACAGGAAAGGAGGCAGCTTTTAAAAATGTAAAGGAAAAAAAAATCAAATTCATCATCTTCAGTTTTAGTTTTGAGTTTGGAGTTTTGTTGTTTAAAGTCTAAGGTGTCAACCAGAAAATGAGAATCAATTTCTGACTGACTGGATGCAGAAAGAAACTTGCTATCTGAAGTGTAGGTTGTAATTGCCCATTTTGAGACCTGACCTCCCTCCAATTTGTCTGTGCTTTGCCAGGGTTAGATAAAGAGAGTAGACTAGTCTGACTAGTTTTCTGATCATGTAATGAAAAGGAGAAATGTGTTGGAGAGTGCATGACCCAGTTGCTTGGGGAAGTGTTTGAAATGGAGATCATAAAACACAGTGAAATAAACATGGAGGCTGACATCTCTGTTCTTACTGGATCTGAAGGTTTGTGGGGGAGAACTGTATTTCAGCATGTGAGGGAGGTAGCCAGCATATGATGGGTTGTGAGGGATATCTGATACATTTTTATGGCTGCCCAGAAGATGCAGATTAAGGTAAGGTTTACTTAGAAGATTCATCTTTTTTTTTTTTTTTTTAAGAATTGGAAAAACCCCAATCTTGTACTTATCCAGCCTAAGGTCTAGACATGCTTTCCTTCCCTCACTTCCTCTTCCCACCCCCAATATGATGAGAACTTCAGTAAAAGTTGTTCAGCATCCAAAAAGAAGAGCAGGGACTTGCTTTAAAAAGTCTTAAAAGATTGCCAGTAGTCTTTCTATAAAGTCCTTGAGAAACGGGGAATGCATTTAACTACAGTAGCCTAAAAGAAATTACTTTAGCTCTTACTCTGTTACTGGTATCTATAGCTTATGCAGACGTGCTTTTTTAAGCAAGAATGTATTTACACATGGCAGAAAGCCTCTAAGATTATATGCAAACTCACTTCCAAAAGATTTGTTCTAATAATTGAAATAGGTTGATCTTCCACTAATGGATTTTCTTTTGTAATGACCGTAACTCAAAATGGCAAGCGCCTGAAGCTTCAGCAAGTGCATCTGCTGTTGGAAGTGCTGACCTTCTCACTCTTCTTTCTGCACTACGAACGTCCAGGTGTTCTCGCAAGCATAACTACCCAACATCCAGTAAGACCCTGCTCGTCCGAGGGATGTTCATTACCTTTGGCATGGAGCAGTGCCGAAGAGACGACTACGACACCGACGCCAGCCTGGAGTACAGCGATGAGGAGACCTACCAGCAGTTCCTGGAGTTCTACGAGGACGTGCTTCCCGAGTTTCAGAACGTGGGGAAGGTTGTTCAGTTCAAGGTAAGCATCTGAGTGTAGCAGCTTGTTAAACACGTTGTGTATACCGTGTAAGTGGTGTTTTACTAGCTGTAACAGGAATTCTGTCCAGCGTGCCCTAGCTACATCCCATGTATGTTAGAGAACGATGCAGCATCCTTCTAACATCTCTCATGTCACCTGTAAACTTGTCATTGCTGTTACACAGCACTGCCTTCATCGGAGTGAATCTTCTCTCCTGTACCCCCAAACTGTTACACAAGCTTGTGCTTTAATATTGCAAGTTATTCATACTGCTCAGCAGTCCATTTACTTCACAGTCTCCATTTAGATCATGATAAGCCCCAGAGGCTCCACTAAGACAGTATAAATAAATCTGTATTTGTGCCTAAGGAATGAAATAGTAGGGATGTGAAATGTATTTGGAGTATGCACCCAAAAACTGACATTTTAGGACTGGCTGGATAAAGTACATTCAAATTACAATAAACTTAAAAGGTAATAGATGTTTCAGTAGGAGGAACTACAAGCAGGTAAGTTTTGTAAATGGTCTTGAGATTTGTTAATGACTTTTAGTTTGTGCATTTGGTTTGCTGAATGTTCTGTACTTTTTTTTCCCCTTTATATTATGATTTCTTAAGGGGGGAAAAGAGACCTGTAAATGGAGACCTCAGAGATGAATGACGTATGTTAATGATCCCCTGTTGCCTCAAAATATGCAGCTTGGACAGTGAAATCTCCTTGTAGCAGAATCTACTGCAGCATTTTTCCCTTTCTGCTTGCCATTCCTGCAGTCGCCAGGAGGCACGCAGTGCCGTTTCTCCTTTTGTTTCCTTCTGCTGACAGCTGCCTCAGAACTGAGGTTGTATTAGCATTTCAGGCAAGAGGAAAGTAGAAAAAGTGAATTTTCAGTGATTGTATAATGAGCTTTATAGGTAAGAAACCTTCCCTTGTTTGGAGGAGTATCCCCTCCATATTCTGCCTCGTGGGATATTAGCAAGCTGTGCTGCATCCTAGAAGACGGGCTGGAGATTCCCAGTGGAGCGCGTGTTGAAGCGCTGTCGTACCGTGGTGCTCGGATCATCAGCTGTGGATCATTGTTCTGTGCAGCTCTCCTAAGCATATACTTGGGTCCTGTGACTAATTACTGGTTAAGAGCTTTGAGAGTGGCATCTCTTAGCTTCTGAAGCAATTGTGCTACTGTAATATGATTCTCCTGGGTATGTTCGTTATATTAGAGATGTTTAGAAATGACATCTTGGCTGCAGAGATCCTGAGTGTGATTGAGCCAAGTCTCTGCTACCATTTAGAATCAGATTACACACAGCCCTCTTCAGCTGCCCTTCCTTTCCAGTGTAGCCCAAGGTTTTATTCTTGCTGTTCTTTCTGGGATGCTACTCCAGAATCTGGCAGATGCTGACAAAACACACTTCTTTTCCCACCCAGGAATGTCCCTCTGTGGCAGAATCATTCTCGCTTGTTCTTGTGTTGACATTGTTTATCTCAAATAGTTTGAACTGCTTATCTGTAATATTTAATTACACAACTGCTTTGTTGTTGTGTCTGAAGCCCTTGCCTAATCCCCTGCACAGAGCGGTATTCTCTGAGGATCAGTCAAGGTTCAGTGATGAAAGGAGCCACTTGTCTCATTTGGTGTGGATGTTGGAAGAGGCCTGAGGGCAGAGAGGCTGGGCTCACAGTTCTGCCCTGGAGCACTGGGTTCTAGCCTGCTTGGGCCTGTCTGTCTCAGAATCTTTTGTAACTAGCAACAACCTTTTTTGGAAGTTAAATCGTGTATTTTTGAGAGCTTTAGATATACTTTGAATGCTAAATCATTATGAAAAAAGGTGTTTCAGAACTGTGTACAGTGAAAGCCAGCAACTTCAGCTTTTCTGACTCATCTCACAGGGATGCTGCGAAGGTAAATTGCTCTAAAGATTCTTTTACCATAATGAATCCTACATTTCCACATGAGGATACCACTAATTGTTTTCAGAGATGGATTTGGCTGTTGCACTGTAGGGTTGGCCTGGATCAGTGCAAGACAATTGAGTACAAGCTGTCTTGTGGAATGAGTGAAGCAGAAGTCCCAGAGTTAATCAAAACATAATGCTGGAAACGCTTAAACATAATCCAGAAGGGTTGGGTTTGGGTTCGTTATTTTTTTTTTTCTTTTTTTTTGGCTAAAAATAACTGTTCAGGAGAAAATCATATATGAGTCCATATTGACGAGCTGTCATAAATCAGAATGACTGCTGTTTCAGGATGCGTGAGTTTCTGTACAGCATAAACCTTCTGCTGTGCTAAATTAGCGTTTCCATCCCTTTAGGTCAGTTGCAACTATGAGCCTCACCTGCGAGGAAATGTGTACGTCCAGTACCAGTCGTAAGTACTCACAGTCTCATGGAGTTTTGGAACTAAACTCCAAAGGCCAGTAGTGAACACTGTATAATCCAAGTGATTCATTCTCATACCGAGTAATGAGAGCTTAAAACTGGTCAGGAGCATCTTAAGTGATTGTATGCTAACAATGCTATGTGCCATTTTCACTTTTTAAAGGGAGAAGGACTGTCAGGCAGCTCTTGCTCTCTTCAGTGGACGGTGGTATGCAGGCCGACAGCTTCACTGTGAATTTTGTCCTGTGACAAGGTGGAAAACTGCTATTTGTGGTGAGTCACATCAACACTTGGAAAAGAGAATGTGTGTTATTGAAAGAGTACTTAGGGAAGTGAAAAAGGGAATTAGCTGTAGCTTTCAGTTCTCCCTAGTGTTGTAGTTAACTTCTCTTTGGAAGACAAATAAGCTAACTTGCTTGCGTAGATCTAGGAAAGAAAGGGGATGAATATTCATGCTGTGTCACGTAAGTGAATTTTCTAGTGGACTTACCTTGGACTGGAAAAGAAAGCTTTGATCCTAGCTTGGGCAATAATAATCTTAAGGCGAACCTATGTGAAGTACTAGTTTTTCCTCTCTAAAGAGCAAACAGTTTCTCAACCGTCATCATTTCTTAGCAGTAACTATCACATATGACTTACCTATATTTACATTCTTAGATTAAGATAGCAAAATTATTGATGAAAATTGTTTTAAGCTAAAACCTTTATAGCTGTTAAAAAAAGTTAATTCTGAGGAATGTATGTACTGAAAATCTTGCGTGAAATAAATTGGTCGGTGGTCAGATGCATGTTTTTGTTTGAAGACACAAAGTTCAGTTTATTAGGTGTCTTTCCAGTAGGTACATAAAGAAGAAAGAGATTCCACAGGTCTGGTTCATAAAAAAAGCAAACCCTGATCTGTTGCAGGCTTGTTTGAAAGGCAGAAGTGTCCAAGAGGGAAACACTGCAACTTTCTTCATGTATTCAAAAACCCAAACAATGAGTTTTGGGAGGCCAACAGAGACATACGTATTTCTCCTGAACGGACTAATCAGTTATCTAAAAACTCTGAAAGGAGAAACAGGACGAGCCATCGGGATGACTATTACAGCCGGTCGAGGAGAAGGGGCAGCCCCAGCCCAGATCATTCCTACCGGAGAAACGGAGAATCTGAGCGAAAAAAGAACCGGCGCAAGGCCAAGCGGCG